TACTAAGATACCCCTGAGTTTTGGTGATGGAAATCTGCATTACGTCTTGAATTTACTGCTACTCGGACTATTCTTTGCTGCCAATAGAAAGGTAGCCTGACAAGCTGGTTACTCGCACAGGATTTGACCTAATTTTTATGTACGTAAGCAGCGTATTTGCACAGTTCGTACCTCTCTAACAGTTTGGGGCGATGTATGTGCTCTAACTGTATTCTCAGACCACTGTGCTAGGATCAAGTCTCTGTCAGGCAGCCCAAATGCTCTGTGTCGACACGAGTAGCTAGGGCTCATAATGGTCTCAAGTTCATTGAATAGAGACGTCATTGTAGGCGAAGGAATATCAGGACGAGTGCATCAGTGTGAGACTTGTGGCGTAGTAGGCGCAGAGGTCGGATGATCCACACATACGGGCCGGGCCGGACATGCACATCGCGCTTGAAAAGCTGGGGAAGCTAGTTCCATTTGACACAATTGATCCCATGTTCAACCGCAGCGAGACATCACAAGTCATGTCGTCGACGAGACCAACAGTAGACTCTTTTACTCGAAAATCAGCAGGCTTGTTTGTTTTACATGCCTTAGCGATACAAGCGGCTGCTCATTATCTGAATCAAAGTACTTGATCGACAAATTTGCTTATGAAATCTAGAGCTCGAGTAGGTCTTATTTCAATATGTTAAGCATTAGAAAGCACAAGGCCAGCAAAAACAATCTGCTTTCCTTCCAGCGATGTCGGTGAAATCGCTCAGTATTCTCTACAAACCTGGGATAGTCGAGAACAATCGCAACTAAATCAAAGTCGAAAGCAAACGTGAAAATTTCTCTAATCGACAACTTTTCATGAATGTTAGTCCCACCATCCTCACAATAGTCCTCAATCTCTGTCTGACCATAGATCACCTCGTCTCATCGACTTATCAAGTACTTATTTCCATTGCAAACCGGAGCTTGCCTCGTCTATCACCGGTCACCACTATAACGAAATTATGATAATACGATTAATTGCAAGGAAGGAGCTAAATCACAATACTCAAAGCTTGAGATGTGGCTTTGAGGGGACTGTGGCTCTAATCAGGCGACATATTGTGGGAGAATAGATAGCTGGAATGTGGGACGATAGAAGGAAGAGATCTCTTATGGGTATTTTGAGACTTATAACTTTTGAATAATTTTCCAACTTTGGAAAATCTTTTGGCCCCAAGACTGAGATTTGACCAATCAAGGCAGGAGGACTTCTGCTGTCGATGAGTCAACAGCACTCACCAGAGCCCTGGACGGCACAAAGGAAGTTGGGCTAAGCTACCATACAACAATCATTCTCCGTCAAGCAATTTGTGACATTTCAGTACGATTTTGGGAAAGAATCGAAAAGAGTGTGGATTTCCCGAGGCACCCACAAGTCTGCAGCGCCCAGTAGGCCAGCCTCTTAGTACGCTTCAGGAGGCTCAATATGTCTTGGGATTTAGTCCTTATGTCGGTGTTAGGAGATCTCCGCACCCAGTGGTTTTTGCTATATTTCCCGGTTGCCATATTACTGCAAATAGCCATTGTATCGTTGGCTGGATAGTGGAGATAATGAAGGGCAAAGGGATCCACTAAGTGAATGATTGAGTAAGGACTTGTGAGGGGTAGCATAGGAGGGATAAAGCTCAGGAATAGGTACCCTTGACCTGTAGGCAGAGACGATCTGCATGTCCTATATAGTCATAGACTCAGAAAGGACAATAAAATGAATTAACAATAACAAATTAATCTCTTCGAGAGTAAGCCAATGCGGATAATTTGAAGGCTGCAAACATATATAATGATAAAAAATCAGGTAGACCAATGATGGACTATAAAGAATCACCTATCGAAATCCACCAAAACCTTAACAGGGCCCAGAGCAGTGTTGCCACACAAGTAAGAAGCGAGCACCTGAGCTCAATGCTTACTTATATTGAAGGAATGTACGAGGAGTAGGAAAACTATGTTGCCAATGTGGATATCCGTCCCAAAATGTAAAGCACATGGTGATTTCTTGCCCAAGATGGGCAAAGGGAAGAGATGAATTGCTATGAAGTTCGACAACTATATCTTTCGAAGCTACGGTAAATAATGCTAAAGATATTAATAGAATTGACTAGTAGATTCAAAAGGAAAGACGATTAGAGCAGTTTCGGATAGCCGGAGAAATTGAGGCGTTAGTCAGGCGAAGAGAGGAAAATGGAAACACAGGACAAGGACGGAATCCACACTGGCACAACAGTGTGAGTGTACTTCTTAGTGGTAAGACTGTAAGGGCGTAGAGTGCAATCTGACAGCTAAGGGGTATTTCACTGCAAGGTTTCCTCCTATGTAAATCTTTAGTTTCGTAGACACCTCCATGGGCCCATAGATCGCCAAATGGGGTTAAATGAATTCAAATTCAAAATAATTAATCAATTTATACTAGGACCATGGAAATGATAGGGGAGAAGGGATGGCAGAAGTTCATTCAATTCCTAACTGCAAGCAGATGTTACAGTTGGCCGAAGAATGAACAGGGTGGGGGATGACCACGCTGAGACGGTTTCTGACCCGAGAGGAGATGGGGGTGGAAGATGGGGATGCGGCTCAGTGCACCGTGACTCAGACGTTTACTGTACGTGTTTTTTTCCTTTTCTTTTGTCACTTCTAGCTTCACTGCCGGTCATGTAGGTAGCAGCAAGCTCTCAGAGCCCATCTACCCGTGTCACTTATAAATAGATGTTGGGTTCTTCCCGTCAGTAAAAGATTTCAAATTCAATTTAATTTACATGATACCAATATTCTTAACACAACAATGTTTTGTATACGGGCTGTGCTCGACCTTCAATGCTAGCGTAACTTAGCGCTGAAGCTGTGAATATGACTGTGCAGAGTAGCACAGGCTATAGGCAATCTTTCGGGTTACTAGTCGTCACATGAAGACAAGCTAGCTATGGAATGTGCCGCGGTCCGCCTCCAGGTGGTGTTCTATGGTGTAGTTTTAGTAACCTAGGCACCTGTTCTATTTGGGAAGAAGCCGTCTAGGATCATATCTCGCGTGGAGAAAATTCAATGGATGTTGGAGGCATGTTTGGATAACTCAGGGGTTTTGAGGAATCCCTTAGGTGGGTATTCACGGCTGAGGGCAGACTTTGGATGAAGGAAAAGCCACTATAATTTCGCAGTAGTACTTGCAAATGAAAATAGAGCTTTGAGTGCTCCGTAAGAAATTGAATCGTTAATAATGTACTTCATCCCTGGGATGTTGTCATGAAGAGAAACCTGCAGACATAATCAAAAGAAGATAGAAAATCCGAAACTCTCTTACGCTCTCTGCACAAAAACTCAATACATAGTTGATATTGATGGATGGTCTTCCAGTAAAGGTTGATTAGTGTAGTTGGTTATCACATCGGATTTTGAGGACAAATTTCCGGGGACCCGGGTTCGAATCCCAGATCGACCTCAGCTGTTCTTTTTACCATCGGTTGGATTCTGCCAAGGCGTCATCAACATTCGCCCGAAACAACACGCTGTAGCGTTCGAAGCCAGCACATCGGGCTCAATTCTTATTTCCAGAGATGAATATTACCAGGATACGATCTCCCAGGTTGTCCAAGTGGCTACCAATCACATGATTATGTCCTGCCCTAAGTGGTTAATCGGTAGGGGAGAATTCTGGAGATAAGCCCGAAATCGATGCTTTGAAGCAATTACCAACCACGCTAGCAGGGGTACTATTCTCAACATCTGTCAGTGTTGTCCCCGACGAACCCCCAGCTCTCACTGTAGAGTCTGCAGAACCGAGATTGAGTAACAAAGTCCTCACTTCGACGAGGATTCCCAGTCGCTTTCGCGTTCTGTATCGTCCTAATCTCTCAAAGCATTCCCCTATCACCATTATCATCATGCTTACCACGATTAGATCAGATGGTAGGTTCGAAGCCCTTCTCATCATCAACCCTTGATCATGGAGGAAAAGCCATCCGATGAGTTTCCTGAGCGTAGCCAGCACCCAAAACGGAGTCGGCTGATTGGATCAAGTCGACCTCAACTAGTACAAAGAAGGGAGATATGGATGAATCTTTACACCTCATGTGGTCCCGGTGTCTAGGCCTCGCCTGGCTGGGGCTGCAGGTTTTTGGAGACTTTTTCCCGCGCACGCAGTTTCCATTGCTACCATTTTTATTTTTTTTGGGTAGAAGGTTCGGTGGAAAAGGAGGCCGAATTCCACGGGTAAACACTGAGATGAATGGCTATTTATCAAGGGGAATATGCCAGTGATCTTTCAAGTAACAAAAGAGGATAGGAGCACTGTACAAGGTGTGGCCTGGGTCAGAGAGGAGCTCAATGTGTTAGATAGTCTAGGACTCAAATAGTACAATAAAAATATCATACACAAACACATTGCAGGGGTATGAGCCTCACAGAAATCCTTTGCATATATACTGTATAACCTTTTATATTTCTACCAGTAACCCGAGAAATCAACATAAATTATAATTTAGCCCCAGTATGCTTCATTAGTCTAGGCTAGGAAGTAATTCGAAATAGAAAGCTCATTCCAAGATACTGCATCTGAATTTTAAAATCCCCAAAATTCCGAACTATCTGGGTGCAATCTTCCTGCATGAAGAAATATGATATCAAAAACATGCAACTATTATAGTTCCCTGGTGTCGGGCGCATTTTCGTAAGGTTTTGGTCCTGCTGATCAAGGTGGATATCGGATTTTCAGCGCAGCGGGACGATAATTGAAAATGTTGTCGGCAGTACTGCGGGACGATAATCACATATATTTGTTGTCATTTTCTAGCCAAACCAATCTACACCGATTAGCTTGCATGTGATTGAATGTTCATTAATATGGCTGGCTTGGCATCCGACATCAACGTTGATACCATGGATTTGGTATAAACTTGAAGCAAATCCTACACCCAACTCCACCATTAATTATTCAACACCACCCCAAAACATTCGAGTCCCCGCGTTCTCTAGAAAACCACATACTAATGGCGCCTATCAAGCCTCACTGGATCCAGCCATCTCATCCTGAGATTCTGCAAGTCGTCTATGGAAACGACGAGGATAAATTTCAGAGCAAGACCTACTCAATTATTCGAATGCCGCCTAACTCTGGTAGGTTCACCTGCCAAAACTATGCGTAAGCAAGTTGTTCCTAAGCAGTATCTTGAAAATATTCAAATAATTACAATCTAATTCACTGTGTTTAGTGTTTGCTAAACTTACTGAGCCACCTTGCTCAATACTACAATCGCCAAGCTATGATACAGTGCAGGTTGCTAAAGATATACATCTGCAACTTAATTCAGATCTTATGTACCTCGATCATAGCTGTGAGCCCTCATTAGTGGGTGCCTCCTCTCTCCTTGTCCATCGTACTTCTAACTCTCCTGCTACGGGAAGATTGTGGATACTGCTCAGCGAACCATCTTTACTGGGCCACAAGGTCTCACTCCCGGTCAAGAGCTAACTTTTTTCTATCCCTCAACTGAATGGTCTATGGATCAACCTTTTGACTGCGATTGTCGTAGTCAGGATTGTCTTGGCCGCATTTCTGGGGCCCGTTTCTTAAATCCTAATGAATTAAAGGGACGCTGGATTAACCTTCATATTTTAGAAATGTTTAGGGATTCGGAAAAGATTCGTTTATCATCGGACAGCTGCGCTCCTGACCCGTGATAAGTAGAAAGGCTTCTTTTTGGCATTCCGCAAATAAGATGAGATAGCTTCATTCCTCTTTTCAATCAATTAATTTGTATTCAACTTTCGAGCTATGACACAGGACCATCAATTTGCGTTCATATTGAATGAATCTTTTGACTTTAGACATATCCATATCTTGATTGACCTTCCCAAATACCGTCTTGAGATGCGTTTGTGCAGAGGACTCGACCCTCCTCTATGAATACCAATGAAAGGAAATTTCAATACTTTTGGTTATCAAAGCACAAATATCACGAGAAATATTATTAAGTCTTGCCGAGTTCAAAGGCGATCTCCTGTCCCTAGTTAGAGAGATTTCCAAGCTATCCAGAATGTAACTGAGAGATTGGCCCGGATGATGTTCCACTGGATTATCCAGTCATAGCCCTATTTTCAACTTCATATTCACTCACAAAAACCAAGCTAAGAATATTACAATGCTTAAAAATTTAAAAACTATTGGGAGAAAAGAGGATCAATGAAGGCGAAGTGGAAATAAGTCAATTGATTAGTTACTTATATGAAATTGATATTTATCCAGACCATCAAAAATAGTATAAAAGTTATCAAGGAAAACTATGGCGAGAACCTCAGAATTCATCAGTAATTATCAAATAAAACAAATGTCAAGTTTACTGTTGAGTTATGAAGTTATTTAAATATCTTTAGCAGTCCTCCTTTGTCACAGACTCAGTAGGAACTTTAAATGAATTATATTCTATTATCAAGTAAGTCTGTAAGACGAAATAAATTATGATTTACGCTGTGTTCTCTCGACATAGAAGTGGAGCCACGATGGTATTTATTCATAGAAATCTCACTGATAACTGAAGTGTAGTATGAATAGCAAATACAAGGATTGCGTTGGGAACCCTTATGTAATGGAGGTAATCATTACAAATTACATTATGCTTCATATCCAAAAAGATTCTCTTACGTAATATCGAATTTTCGCTCATTTAAGATCGTACAAATATTAATCAAAAATATTTACAGCTGTACTTATTCTGCCCGACGTTCATCCTAAAGATCTATCTTGAGAGAACTGTGCACCAAGATTCTTGCTCTCCAACAAGTGCTCATGTTTTTATAGGCGTCTATTTGGACGCCAACAAATGCCAGAGCCTAGGTCGATGAGAATTTTGGAAATTCTGACTCTCGAATTTAGGATTCACTCTTTATCTGTTTCGTCCAAAGTTCCCGTCAAGATTGACTCCCTCTGCACATGCCCTGAGTGCACTAGTCGCACATATTGTCGCATATACGTTTGGATATTTACGTACAGCAGTGTGCCTTGGATCGTCATAGTAGATGAGGGGCTGGCTGGTTATTACTAGGCTTGACAGGCACATAAGACTAATGGGGATTTCTCCCATAGATGTATATTTAAGCCCGATGTTCCCATAGTTGTAAAATATCAAGTCTTCTCTGCTCCATTATCCTTATCCATATAACATCATACAGATTATATTTTTCGACGGAGAAGCATGGTCATAAAGATCTGAATCTACTTGCTTGCACGTGTAGATTTAGCATGGATTTTGTCGGGTTCAATCTTGTTGGGAGTGAGATTTTGGTTTGGTAGGGTGTCTGGGATCATTGCGTGAGGACCAACTTTTTTCAGTGTCGAGAGTTTTGACTGAATTTGGAATTGAGAGTGTAGCTGATTCCCAGACCAACAGATGCCAGTGAGCATGAGTCATCAACATTCTTCGTCTGGCACTTAGATATGCTGGTATTCGAAGTTAGCTATTGCGTCGTGCGTGGTGCGCTTTTAGGCTCCAGCTTGTTCCAGGATGAATGGGGCCTAATTGGAGGATGGCCAACAGACTTTGGATTAGGGGGACTTAGATATAAACATGACTCTATATAAACGCGGGTTTGATTAATGGTTAATAGGAGATAACTGTTTGCTATAGTGACACCCAAGCATTCTTTATTGGAACCATCATACAGCGTAATGTAAGACGAACTATCGACAAAATTAACACCACATCCGGTCAGAAGCGTCAAAACATCTCGAACTCTATTTTATTATCTTGTTAATTGTTGCTGTCTCCATAAATCCAGACTGTCTGCAGATATTAGTTCGTTGTTACTTAGGAAACTAAATGGGAGGATTTCAATCTACAAAACTTATGCCAGCACTACAACTCACCCAATTGAAGGCCGGCAATAACGAATTCTTCACCTTCCAGCAGTGCCGGTGTTATCGCTCAGTATGCTCTGTATATCTGGGATAGTAAAGAAAAATCGCATGCAAATCGGAGTCGAAAGCAATCTCCAGCATATCTAAAATCGATGACTTCTCATCAGAGATGTACCTATCTTTCTCACGCGAGTCCTCTAACTCAATCTTAGTACACAACCTCGCCTCAACGACTGATGAAATAGTCGTAACAACTTAAAACGCGAATTTATCTGATTAAAATTTGGCCATCTTCCACTATAAAGTTAGGACTCTAAATATATCCGAAAGGAGGATACGAAGTCACAATATACAAAGCTCGGGCTTTATCTATGGGGTGTATTGTTCTAACGGGCCCTCCCTAATTGAGGGAGAAAGGTTACTGGGGCGTGGAGCGAGAGAAGATAGGGACTTGAAATGGCAAGCTAGGTTTGCAATTTGTAAGGGGTTGTTTCTTTGGAGCGCTTGTGGGCTCTAAGGCCAAGACTTTAAATGTGATACCGACATCATAAATATGAAACGCATCATGTTCTCTTTGGTAGATGAGGGCTGAGAAACAACTTCAATCCGTACGACAAAGATTGCTGCAAGTCAAAGTGTTGCCGTTGAGACAAATCTCTTGGTGGGTATCATCGGGCGGCCCTGACGAGGCGCAGAGCATGAGACTAAAATATTTTTTCTTATGATTTTCTTCGTTTCTTTGGGGTTGTCATGTTAGTAGTACAGTCAGACCCCTGTTAAGACGATGTCATCGGGGCCGTGAAAAATACCGTCATATGGAGGATATCGTTTAAAAGGATATGATCACCTAATCCAGCTATCTAGGCTGCTTTGTACTTTTGATGCCTCATTTACACTCCCAATTGCTGTCTTTAATCGCTCTAGTACTCTCAAGGTCAGGCCAGTTTCCAGCTCGCTGTCGGAGCGCAGTAGTACTTGTAGCTTTGTCAAGTTTCGCAAGGGTCTTGTTTAAGGACTCGAAGACTGTGGACTGACTTAATCGATGGCCGTACTCAGCGAAGAACCACTCAAAAACTGTTTTTGTGTTGGTTTTGGGACCTGGCAGCGCGTCCATCGTCGCAGAGCACGTCGTTGCTCCACAGAAATTCCCTTATTTTCGCGGCATTATTAGCACCAATCTAGCAAAAAAACCCTGGTTAAGAGGATTCAGAGGTTGAAGAACGATAATCTTGTAATCGGTAAATGTATGGGAACGAAGTCCGTTCCGGAAAATATATCGTATAAACGGCAATATCGTCTTAACAGGGGTCTGACTGTACTGCGTATTTTGGGTTTAACTGTCCGTGTTGTGGATACTGGTGGGTGATGTGGAGACGGCTATCGCTCGGGACTCACGATATCAGACTCACAGGGTGATCAATATCGAAGTCTAAATTAAGCAGAAGGTTGTCTAGCCTTTCCTCTATCGACTACTATGCTCTCTATATACATTCTATGCTATTGCCCTAGGCGGAGATCCGGTCTTCTCTAAATAGTGGTAAGACGACGCTAGTACCTCGTCTCCAGCTCCCGATTATCTGCGCTTCAGGATCCTCAGTGTGGTGTCAATATAAATGCAGGGCTCGGACCTGGCTCGTTTAAATAACAATCAGTCAATTGAGCAGCCAAGTAAATCGTCTGCACAGCGATGATGAGATCCGATCGTGGCTCAGACATGTCAAGGCTGAGTTCGGATAAGACAGTATTAAAATTCCAGATGAAGGGTCTACGAAAAGGCTTCTCGTGTTTGCTGAGCTCGTGGACGCGTCATATTCCCGTTCTTTTTTTAACATCATTCCAGGTCTACTCATCTATCCTGCCATGACTCATGACGACAGTTTGTTGTACACCAAGATTACACTTTTGGCACGAGAGGTGGCCATCCTTTGAGTCACTTTCGCAAACATAGCTATGAGGTATGTTTGTTTACACAGATCAATGGAAACTCATCCATGAACACCAACTGCTGAGAGGTGTCAAAATCTTTGATTAACCACTCTAGTTTAACAGGTGTTTGCAAAACCATACACGAGGATCTCACAAGGCTATGTAAGGAATTTTTGACCAGCCTTATCATTGAGAATCCCTTTACTTGTTGATCAATATAAACTTTCCAGGATTCGGCCATTTTGGTGAGATACGACTTGTGATTCCTAGCGTTAGTAAACAATGCATTTGGGTTCCACAAGTGCCCGTGCTTCACGAATGTAACTGGTGGGATCCATCGGGCGCGCTAGCATAAAGATCAACAAACAAATATTAGACGAAATTACATCAATGAATAAACAAATATATCCGAGGAGGAAGAATGAACCCATGTCGGCGATCTTATTTTCGAGCCGATGAGTCGACCATTCCCCAGGTCTTAGCTCAGTCAAATTTTGAAATGCCGAAGAGCTTGGCTCACGAGGCAATGATTCAAGACTCTCTACCACGTCCAATCTTCAATCCCAACTAGATTAATCCCAACCACATCCTTGTCATGTCTTTAAGTACGACAGAGTATGTTTCAGTTCCAGTTACTACTCTCTCGGCGACTCAGGCTCTAGCTTCAAATAGTCTCCAAACAAATGCCAAAACGACGTTAATGCCCACGAAGAAAGGCAAATTTTTGCAGGCAGCTCAGGCGAGAGGGATCCTCGGGATGGAAATGAGAGATATCAGGACAAAAAGGCAAGATACATTCTCGAACTAGCCAGAATTTTCGAATTCGTAAGGGGGCTTTACTTCTTGTTGGCATTGTGCGCCTCGCGATTTTATCTTTGCAGATGCGGAAAAGGCTCTAAGTGGGAACTTCGCTCGACGATCCAGTGATAGAAAACTCGGGCTGTTACCTCAGGTTTAGTTTCGATAGCTTGCAGCTATTCTACTCGAGACAGGAGAACTCTGGATCAAATCCAAATAGCCTTGGTTAAATACTGCACTCTGCTCTTGTTTAGTGTGAGGGAGATAGGTTTGGATGAAAGAAAGTTGGAAAAATTTCCTCGGACGAAAATACTTGGAAGCAGGACTTCTTTTCAATGCCGATAAATAAATATTAAAATGAGATGTATTGGTCTCAGTCATAATAAGAATATCTTTAAAGTTAGAGTTATCTTCAAAAATTTCAGCAAGTCACTGGTGATTCTCGTGAAATTAGTTCCGACAAACCATATGGATGATTTTTTCACGCATCCATTCAGCCTGTAATCATTCTTCAAACTCCTCACCACTCATAACTATATCCCATACGAAGCGTTTAACGCGCAATGGTTGATAACCTCCACTGATCATCGGATACCCTTCAAAGTCCCACTACATTTTCTCGTGATTAATAGCTATTTTGCCTTACATAATTTAGTAGTATCTCGTTGCAAAGCAAGCTTCAACGCATAGAGCTCGCCAAGTTTTGATGGACAGGTTCCGCTTTTTCACACTCGACACAGCCCCGTAAATGGCCACTTCACAGCGCAAGAGTGGCTTGGTTGGTCACCAGTGATCTATGCCTGCAAAAAAGCTGCCACAGCAAGACGAATACTGATGCTTGGGTATAGCTTGGCCCATATTTTGCCAAAGTAAAATGTTGTATATAAGACTCGTTAGTTGTCCTTCACAGAGGCCAAGCTACTCTTCTCATTCCAAAAGTTCACCGGACTCATCGACTATCCCTCCGTCACCCATCTTATCAATCAGAGTATTCTCCAAGCTTTATTCCAGCAAACATTCACATCAAAGACCAAGCTATGATTTACCAACTATTGTTTGCTGGCCTTGCCACCATCCACCTCGCTTCAAGCTTCGGCCTATCCTTCAGGCAATTCAAGGTAGCCAGAGCTGTTCACGACGTAGAGGGTGACGACATCGTCCGTGACAGTAAGTCCATCATGTTGTCCATGATATTGGTCATCTCCTGCATCGTGTCTTGGAGCTAAGATTCCTACAGCTGGTAGTTCTGACTCGTGCGGTCGCTCAGCGCGCCGTTCAAATGATGTCGAATCTTTGCTATTCATGAGAGATGGCACTGCTGCCTGTGACAATACCCAAAGTATCGACAATATTGATTCAGCCGACCGTGACAAGCAGACAATTCGGGTTCCCAAGCTTGTCGTCGGTCCCAATGATACGTCTATTTCCGTTGATAATCATGTGATCATGATGACGGTCAAGGGCAACGAAAACGGAGTCGGCTCATATACATGCATGATTGATTCAACTGGTACTGGTAATAGTACTGACGCGGGAATCTGGACTGAGATGGAGGTTACCTCCAATTCCACTGATAAAATCTCATCAGATGGAGGAGCTGATGTTGTAAGTTTTCGAGACGGAATAAATGCAGCATTTGAGCTGATCGTATCATTCCAGGAAATCCAAGCTGCTATCGATCCTAACCAGACGTGTACTGGAAGACTTGAAGACAAGGAGAATGTGTGCACGGTTAAATGCAACGATGCTGCCATTCCTGGGTCGCTTGAGAAATCTGTTTATGTGCAGATAGAAGAGGAAGACAGTACTCCCACGCCGACCGATCCAACTATTGATGTTGAAGCTCAAGCTACAGGAAGAGCTGGTGCTAGACACTCGAATGCGGCAACTAAAGGAACTTCGGGTCCAATAATAGTCCATCCAACCCAGATGTCAAAGCCTGTAATTTGATCTGATTTATCGTCGTCCTATAGTCACGAAGGAATTAGTCTCTGATTTTTACCGGGGACATGATGTGTTCAAATATTGTCTAGATCACTTCATACTGATTTGGTTGTAAGAAAATGAATAATTAAAGTATATTTTTATATCGGGTCCTCTTTAGCAATAATCTTTGAATCATTTGATTGGTTTGCTGTTATCAATTTTAAATTCTGATCAGTAGCTTTTATGCACATAAATTGAAACCTTTCACTGCAGTGATACCTATAAGTTGAGTGATATTCGCCATTTGTGGCACGACTTATATTTGTTTTCGCTAAACTGTTGACCTTCATCCTTGAGTTGTAATTACTTGGAGCTTTCAAAGCAATAGATCATTTATTTATGCCACTTAAAATATCTACGCTAGTATTTTGAAGATTTTTGTAAGTTGTGTCGGATTTTCACTGGAAATCACTGGCTCCAATGAGGTGGTTGTCAAATTATTCGGATTGCGTTCGTGAGATCTACTTAAATTAGTGGGTGCGGCAACCTTGTTTCGATATCTGTTTAGAGTCTAACTTTTAGTATCGCTAGTGAGTTCTTTGTATTAATCAAGTTTTTTGTAGCAATATAGCATTGTCATTCGATAAGCTTACTGTGTACATGTTTCAAGGGAATTTAGACATTAGAGACACACAAACTTTACAATTTATCCGCAAATACCACATTAGCTTGTGTATGCTTTTATAGAACTTAAGATCCTTCTCTTAGGCATCCATCAAAAAGGAGTTATAATCCATTTGATATAAGGAAAGTGCTTTCGTTATCCACATACATGCGTACCGCGAAAAATATTAATGTGGCTCGACGTGTTCGAATGAGCGACCTCATCTAGGACAACAGATGCGCATGATATGCCAGTGACCTAACAAGCCGTCGTTGCCCACATGGTATTTGCGCACCGTCTCAAACCAGGTCTTAAGACGGACCATGTTAATTAAAAATTACCTTAAATCCAATGATTAAAATCATTCAAGATCGTTTTGATCAGCATATTCTAGCCCATTTGGCCTTATTTCTACTTACATCTTAAAGGATATACTACGTAGTATTATAGGACAACAATATATATCCTTCTGCGGCTCTTTAGATCGTTGTGAGCGTATATATGGAAGTGGCCTGAGACTGGAAACTAAGTTGACGAGAGATATAGCTATCGTATCGAGCATACGAGGTCGTACTTAAATATTTGTGATGTCTTCGGTCACAAATTTTCAGGTTTGGAGCGAATAACATACTTGATAAAAAGTCTTAAAAGAATTGTCTAGATTCTACTCACATGATCCCGAGGAGCAATGCTGGCGCTAGACAAGTTTATATTTTCTTGGAGCGTCAGTGGTGTCCCCTACGAACCTAGGAGTGAAATATTTTCCCGGTGCCAAGTTCAGTCAAAATTCGCAATATCAAAGAAGTTGGCCCGCGAGGCAAAATTTAAAATTACTCAACCACGTCGTTTTTTCGCTCCCAACGAATTTGACGCCTGCCTAAGTCTCATCAAGTCTACAAGTACGACCAAGTACTACCTCATCCCAATGACCACACCACTCGTCGACCTTCTCCGGCCTCAGTTGACCAACAAATACACGCCCACGCCGATATCTACAACCGAAGGAGGAAGCAAAGCGTGGCGCACAAATCTGGGAGACAGTTCTTTGGGATGGACGTGAGAGGGATCAGGATAAATTTACAAGATGATGCAAAGGAAAGATAATACCTCGAAGGGAGTGAAATTACGAATTTTGACAAGGAGTTTATACAAATTGAGCATTGTGCGCGCCAAGACTTCGCTTGCGAGAGTGCAGCTGACACTATAAACACAAGTCAACGATAGAATGTGTTGTGGTCCGCCTCCTGGTGGTGTCCTCCGGTATAGTTTGAGTAGCCTAGACACCTACTCCACTTGGGAAAGAGACACCTAAGACCATATTTCGCGCGGAGAAATGTAAACGGATGGAGGCATGTCTGGATAACCCAGGGTTTTTGAGATGTTCCCCTGCGTGGGTATTCACGGATGAGGGTTGACTTGGGGCAAAGAAAAAGCTACCATAACTTCGCAGTGGTACCTGCAAATGAGATCTGAGGCATGAGTGCTCTTCCCTTACGTTGAATCATCTATTCTGTACTTTACTTTGATATTGTGTCATAAGTAGATAGCTGCATACGCAATTAAAATCTGATGCAAAAATAAATACGACGATAACTCAGTTTGACACTTGGACTATTTGTTGCGGGGCGAGAGAGTATACAAGATAGAAGTCACGGGAAAAGATATAAAAAAGATACGTAAGATGGAACGTAGACAAGATAGGATGCGGAAAAGATACGGAAATCTAACAAAATATCGCATGCCCTCTCAAGACGTTAACCTCGGACTAGCTCGACGCTAGTGTCAATAATAACACCAGTCTTCTAGCTCAGAGCAGCGTAGCCATGCAGATAAGAAGCGAACACATTGGGTTCAATTCCTATCTGCACAGAAGAAAAGTTCCAGGAGTGGATAATCTACGATGCCAATGTGGATATCCGTCCCAGAATGTGAAGTATATGATCATGGCCTGCACCAGCTAGGCCAAAGGTATAGGAGAAATACTGAGAAAGGCAGAGAACCGGTCATTTAAGGCCATGATGAGCAACCCTAAAGATATTGCAAGGATAACTAGATGGATCCAGCAGGAAGGATGGCTAGAGCAATTTCGACTGACGCGTGAAGTCGAGGCCACGATGAGGGAGGGAGAGGAAAGCAGGGGAAAGATGATCTCCTGCCAGTGGCAATAAAGTGGACGGTATTCGCACTGGACATAACTGTGTTAGTGCACTTCGCGAAGGTAACACAACTTTAAAGTGTAAATAAATTGAAGAGTTGAGGGGATTTTTACCATAAGGGTTTCGTCCTGGATAAACATTAGAATCGTAGACACCTGCATGGGCCTTAAGGCGCCAAATCGGGCTAAATGAAATCAAATTCAAAACACCAGTCCTCTCCATTCCTGTACAATTGTGTTACTATGACAACTAGACCCCCCCACCGCTGCTTAGGCATGCTTTCACCTTTTTATGGAGAGTCATGATAAGAAACATGACACTACTCATGTAGTGGGCGCATTTGCTGATATCACTCGAGACCTTGTTGCTAGGTACTTTCACCATTACCTCTGCCGTCAATATCCATCAAAGGGAAACCAGAAATAACTATAGGTTACCCTAAAATGCCTCTGCCATCTTGTAAATAGCCGCCGCGCGAGGTATGGCCTCATAGTCCTCCCTTTCTCGAGTGAGATAGGTGTCCAGGCTACCCAGACTTTAATTTGGGGAGACGACGACCAGGAGGCGGACCAAAACACTTTCCATCGCTGCCAGTTTCTAGAGTGTCGGTTGCAATATCTGAAATCGTCACCTCTGCGCCCACAGATACTTGTAAGTCGAAAACAATCGAAAAATGTGCGTTCCACCATGCCCATTTGTGACCTCTTCACTCGTTCGTCCCACGTCCCAGCTGCCTCTCCTCCCTCAAGATGTGAAGCCCCATTAGAGCAACGGTCCCACATAGACCAATAACCGAGCCTTGTAGATTATGACTTGAATTCCTCCTCGCGGGTATACATAACATCGTAATTTTGTAGTGGGAGATGGCCGGTTTTTGATGAGGCATATGCCCGATTGAAATTGGAGTAACGCCATTATCGGTATTTGAGGCGAGGTGGTGTAGTAAGATCGAGCGGGAGGACTCGCGTGAGAATGATAGGTCAAACATTTGTCATGAAGTCGTCGATTTTTGATATGATTGAGGTTGCTTTCGACTTCGATTCGTATGCGTTTTTTCCTGGCTATCCCAGACATGCAGAGCATACTGAGCGATTACACTGACACCACTTGAAGGTGAAGAATTTGTCTTTTCCGGCTGGAGCACTGTGAGAGTTTGAATTTGATTTACATTAACGTCGTGTCAGTACACAGCTCATAATCATCGTCACGAGTCCGACGGCCCAGTCCCTACAGAACCTAGAGACTACAAATAACCCAACCAGCTATCCGCCACTCTTATTTCCATTAAAAATGTAGCAAATTTCCCTCCAGCAAAAAATTTTCATAAAAATTTTCATAAAAATTTTGAAGTTGCTTGAAATTCCTCCAACAAAAAATTACGATTTATAAGCAAATTTAAAGAAGTAACACTAAATAGAAACAGAAAACCCATATTCCTATCCAACAGTGATTCCATGGAAATATTGTTCCTCAAAAAAAAAGATTGAGTTGGTTCATTCAGACTCGTCGTAGAAATCTCCGTCAGCCCGACTTAATTCCCAATGACGATATACCCTCGTGAGCAGAGCTAGGTCTACTGACGTCAATTGCAAGAAGCAGAAGACAGTCATTTACTGCTTTCTTAGACCAGGTTCTAAGTCTCTCATAGTGGTTCATCAAGGTTACTCAGAGGATTGAACATAGATACTAAGCCCATCGACAGTGCGAGTGTTGGAATTAAAGCTCGCGTGAATTTTGAGGCTGGACTCCCAATAAGGGAGTTGTTAGGTGGTGAGGGAGAATGTAAGGCAAGCCAGGAATTTTGTCCTTCCTGGCGCATTAAACATATTCTCTCCTGATCAGGTCGAACAAAGACCCCATTAACTCGAAATGGCCGGTCGGGGCCGGGCAGCTAGGAGAGGAGGTTTCGTGAAGACCGGTGCAATTCAGACATTTTATTGGTGTTGTGCACATCCTATTTTAAGAGTCTGATGCGCAGAGACTAAATCGTGCCCGGCGTGTGCAAGCGTGGATGTTGTGAAAGCCGTGACAGCAAGGGCGGTTATCTGCTTACCGAAATATGGCGGAACGCGCAAAGAGTCAAATACTGGTCGGAGGTTTCCCTGAAGCTGGTTTTGAGACTACTAGACGAAGAGATCCTTTCCACTCAGGGGATTCCCACGATCGGTGCGTCCAGGAGATGGAAAATATTGACTCAGTGTCAA